ATTCTAGGGTCAATTACTTAATTTTAATTTTTCATAACATAATTATTTTGTTGTTGAGTCTTATCAATGTACAAAGACATGAAAGAAAAATCAATTTTCAAGCAAGTTGCTTGCCGAATCTTCACAACCCTTTTTGATATTTACCAATATAAACACTTTCTCATATTTAGACAATTCTTTGAAATATAAAGTAATAGATTTTAAATTTAAATTTTCTTCTTATTTTACATTTTGATAGAAAAAAATTGTTTCTAGAGTGATATTTTTGTTACAACTTTTGATATTAATTATGAAATTGAACCTGATCAGAGCAGATCTTAATCGAGTGTGTTCTCTATTAATAAAATTAATAATCGAAGAAAACTTAATTAACTAATAATCAAAGAAGCTTCAAACACACGAATATGCATAACTAATAGATAAATTCGGCCATTATAATGAATAGTAAATTTTTAAATAATAATATTCTATGTGGTGTTTTTGTTTTATAGTACAAGTAAAAACAATATTTAATAACTGTTTGTTTTAGAAAAATAAGGTATTCTAAATGGAGCTATATATTATTTTTCAAATTTGTTTTTTGTGTTTATATTTGAGAGTGAAATAATTGATAATTCAGCTAAAATAGCTGAAGGTTTATATTTGATAAATAGCAACTTCAAAAATGATTTAATAAGATGAAATTTTTCTCAAATAGCAATTTAAACCTTTTTGGATCGGATTTTTGGGAATCCAAGATCATTTACAATAGCTGTAAAAGGAGGCCAGACATAATGAAAATAATAGTAAAAAAGTACAGCTACAATAATTGAGAGAAGAATAGTGACTTTATATCACATATTGGGTAATCAGAAAAAGTGAATTTTTTACATTCCCAAGAAAAAAAATTACAACTTTTTAATTCTTTGACTAATATATATTCTAATATATTCCTTACAATCTAAACTATAGAATTATTGTTTTGAACAAATATGACACACTTGAAAAAAATTAGCAGGATCTACTTACACAATCAAAACAATAATATTGAATTTTACTGATGGAAAAGTTGTATCGAAATTGGAGAGCATACTCTTATAATTTAAGTATTTAACAGTGCTATAATGTATGAAAATTGCCAAGATAGATGATCTCCAGGAGACGAATCATGCATTTTAGGGCATTTTGGTGCATTTTGTGAATGATGCGACTTACATGATGTTCAAAAAAATGGGTCTTATTCTGTTAGTTCTTCCTATTCCTGTGAAAATTATGATTAAGTTGACTGTATTTTTTATAAGTATTTGGGCATTTAAATCCATTTTGATGTCTGATAGAGTTGGTGTTCAAATGATTACAATTTCAAATCATTTCAACAATTACCATAGATTTCTTCTATCTTAGCCTCATTTATCCATAGTGTTAGTAATCCTATTTAATCTATGGCCTACTCTTTAGATTGCTTCTTAATTAATTTTTCATATATTCTCATTATTTATTTTAGAATTATCGGGAGTCTATTAATGGTATCCTCTTAGATAACATAGTATTCTTTACTTTAGAAGGAATAACAATCATTACCAATTCCATAAATTTAATTTTGATTTATTACTAAAGCTCTTATTTATGTTTCCAGAGGTTTACAATCTAATTTACTTTGAAGATGAATCTCTTTAAATGATTATTAGCTTTTTGTTTGCCATTATAGCTAATTTTTGGAGGGATTAGCTATTACTGAAGTTAGATAAATTTTTGGTTATCTATATAATGAATATATAAGCTACCTGCTACTATTGGAATATAATTAAAATTCTATATATCAGCTAAATAGAATGATTTCTAATTTAATAACTAAAGATTTTATCTTTTTTCTATTAGACTTCAGAATAAATATAATCCATTTTAATTTAAATTTGAAAGCAGAAATCAAAATAAATAATCAAGATAATCTGAAATCCGATTATAAATCGCATTATGGCTTTGCTACCAAAATCAAGAACCCTAAATATATCATTGAACATATATGCTAATTTATTTTAATTCTTATTTATATATTAATTAGTTATTAGCAAAGAAAATGAATAGTTATATATATTTATCTACTCTTACAAACTCAATATTAATTAAAATATTTATAAATTTATACTTATAATTTATGATTTCAATAATTGTATTTGAGTATGCTATTATCTATATATTTACTTACCAAAATTGATCTCTAAGTATTGCTTCAAATTAA